AGCTGCTCCATATCCCCCCAAAATAAACATAGAAGCATGCTTTTATCCTCAGCATGATGGCTTTTACACGTATTTTTAGATCAACCCATTAGATGCACCCAGAATTATTTAAGCAGGTAACAGACCTAATGTTAATGGGGGAAATATTCCACTATATCAACTGGCAAATGAATTTTCATTTCTTAAGCTGAGTACTCCTGAAGTATCTCTAATCCTTCAGAATCAAGAACTATAGTCACATTTCTGTTACTCTTTGGTCCAAACGGCTTTCAAACAGAGTCACTCCAAAAGCTGTTAAAACATAGGCGACCCTGAATGTAATTGTCTGAACGTTCACTACTTTAAGGTAGGAAGAAGATGGATCTCTAGTTCATTTGCAATAGATAGGCAAGAGTGTCCAACTTGGAACAAATTATTAATAGCAAGTTCTCTATATAAATAAAAATATATTCTACCATGCTCGGCTTTGTGATAATTGTTTATTTCTCAGTCTTCACAGTTTTAACTTGTAAAACAGGAGCATTTGGTGGTTGCTTAGAACCAGGTTTTTTTCTCACTCATGCTGGCCAATTTTAAGACTTTTAAGTTAGTATCTCTCATTAATCTGTAGTTCACTTTGAGTGTAGATTTGTAAGCAGCATGCAGTTCAACCCTGTGCACAGCTCATGGAGGACTATGAAGTCTTCCTCCAAAGATCTCAATGGTCGGACAGGCAGACAAAGGATGAAGTGCACCTGAAGATGTTATCATTACAAATTAATGCAATACCATTGAACCTGGCCCAGAAACACAAGTGCAGCAGGTGCAAGCTTTTTATGGGTGTTTGTGCATATGTTAAAGAGAGCAAAATGTGTGATGAGCACCAAGGTCCCTCATGTGGCCTTGAAAATAAAAATCAGCAGCATCTTTTAAATCCTGCCTTAGGACACCACACTAGGTACAACACCTGGATTTTCTCTGCTTGCCTATGGTATGTAAGATTATCTATTCTATATATAGCTACACAAACATGAGTGAGAAATATTGCAGAAAAACAGTAAGGATGCCTGGTTGTACTAGTACAATTATTCCCTCCAGTTCCCTGGTGACATGTTGAACTGGTCTCTGCCACAATCCAACAGCTGCTCTTGTTTCCACAGGTTTATTGTGTTAGAAAGAAGCTGCCCCAGAAACATGTCTAAAGAATGACTCACAAAACAAGGCGACAGAAACTTCTGAGTTCTAACAGGGGTACTTTTTAAAGCAGGGGTCAGGGAACCTCATCTGTTCCCAAATGTGGCCCTCCAATTATCTCTGTTCAGCCCTTGGGATTTTGCAGAGTCTGCAGTCCTCTCCAGGTCATGTCCCCTCTCCCCAGGGGACAGCCAACAGTGGCCCTGTTCCATGCCCTTCTTGAATGCTTTTGCCTCGCAATAATGTGTTTTGCCCGTGTTTCTTGCTTGCCTAGTTAGAGGATGTGTGCTTGTGTGTAGAAACCTCTGACTTTTGAATGGCTGGAATGTAGCCTACCATACAAAAGTAGGAGTCAAATCCAGTGTTCCAGCCACAGTGTTCTCTGACCCTGCCCACCACCAGCATGTGGCCCTGGATGAGGGTATATGGTCCTTGGGATGGAAGAGTTTCCCCTCCCCTGTTTTAAAGACATCCCCATGAAGAAAGAAAGTATTTGTGAGAGCTGGTCCTTTTGAAATTCTACTCTGCCCTTATGTTCCGAGATTCATAGGGAGTAAGCTCTGCCTTGAACTAAAATGGTAGTACATATTTCTCTAACAGCAAGTGACAATGTGCATCTCAAAAATACCAGTAGATTACACAAAGAATCCAAGTTTATAAACTTCTTTGGTTGCAATGGATAGATCCTATTAATTTTAATTTCTCATATTTTGCATAGATTGTTACATGGCTCTTACTAATGAACACACTTGGGTGCCTCAGAGTTAAAAACAGTATTCCCCATTTCACCTACCCAAATTTTAAAAACACACACAACAACCAATAAAGAACGGGAGGAATAAGTATGAAACTAACTCCCCACTTAAAAAGGAGGCAACTTAAACTTTATAGTTATAAATACATATTTTATAACTACATACATATATGCAGGGAAAGGGCAATTTAAAGTGGAAGCAAAAAACTAAGCATCTTCTTGTTGTGCCCTTCTGCACCAAATCCCACGCAATATCCCCAGTGTTGTCGCAAGCACCCCACAGCTTCTTACAAAGGTTATCTATGTTAGCCTGTTGCTAGTTCTCAAGAACAGAAGAGCAGGAAAACCTGTTTGATGACTGTACTACTTCACACAACAGGTAGGGGCTCACATGATTAAGTGCCCTTAAACAAACACAAGTTAACGATCCCTGCACACAGAAAACAAGCATGTCATAAAGGTAAGACTAGAACAAAAAGCTACAGGTGTGTGTTTATGATTTATAGAGACACATTCTCCCGGAAGGAGTATATTTGGCCTTGAAATAATGATGATATGAATGTTAAGCTGCCTAATATGGAATCAGACTGTCAATCCATTCTGACTGGGAGCAGCTCTACAAAGTTTAAAGAAGGGTCTCCCCCAGCCCTTCTACTGGAGACCTTTTTTACAGGAAATGCCACGAATTTAACCCACAACCTCATACATGCCAACCCATGGAGCTACTGCCATTCCTCACAAAATGTACGACGCTGTCTTATACCATGTCAGAAGGCCCACCTAACCATTCTGTCATCCACTCTGTTCTGACTAGCTGTGGCTTCCCAAGGACTGAGGCAAGAGCTTTCCCCCACTCCCAGCACCTGCTAGTCAAGTTTATTATATTGGGAGAGGCCAAGGCTTTGGATCTTCCCATGGAGCCATGGCACAACCCCATCGTAATGCAAATGTAGGAAGCTGCCTTATACTGAATCAGATCATTGGTTCATCTAGCTCAGTACCGTCTGCACTGACTGGGAGCAGGTTTCCAAGGTTCAAGTTAGGATTGCTTCCCAGCCCTGTCTGAAGATGCTGGTGATTGAACCTGAGACCTTCTGAATTATCTGCTTTGCTCTGACTGACATCAGCTTTCAGCACCTGCTACCTGACATACATTTAACTTGAGATGCAAGACATTGAACCTGTGACTTTACAGATCAACTCAATGAGCTGTGGCCAGGCATCTTATGTGTATATGAAGCAACTGAAGCTGAGTCAGACAACTGAGTTCATTTTACCCACTATTCTAACTGGCATCGATGTCTTAAACTTTAGAGGTCATTCCCAGATGTAACAATGACTTGCCTCAGTTATAAGGGAGTTTGATATATTCTATTTGATGGCTTACATCACTATTATTACATCAAGGCCTTTGGCAGTTCCTGTGAGAGAAAATATGTGGTAGACAGCCTGCATAAACAGTCTCTCGCTTTAAGCCAATATGTAAAATATTGACACATAAATAGAATTTAAGGTTTTTTCCTGCTTTTTTCTGTGAATGAGACTGCTTCCTTTTTTAAAAAAGTCTGTGTGTTTCCAGCTGGATTGCAGGGCTTACCTGCAACATTTTGCTGCCTGAGGCAAAGGACAAGGTGCCACCTCATTCTACCATTGTACAAAAACTGGCAAGAATAACAGCTGAATCACACTTTGACAGTGGCAACAAGACAGCAGCTTCCTCCACTACACCTGAGGTCAGAAGCCTCATTTAGGAGGGTGCAGGGCAGATCACATGGCACATGCAGCTCTGTCCATTCCCCATCCTTCATCATCTGTTGTGCAAGGCTTTTGCCTCACACTGCCTAACGGTAGGGCCAGCCCTGTGCGATTGCAAGCTCGGTTGGATATATTATACATAGACAAGATATGATTCTTGCCAGATAGATGGATAAATAAAATAAATGCCTATCAAGCAATATTCAGCACTAAGAATGAGGGTTCCTCTTTCTCCTCTCCTTCTGGTTTTAAAAACCTCAAATCAAAGCCTGAAATATATTAAATGCATATGCTAATGGTAGCACCACTACTCAGAAGTAGGTGCAATTTACTTCAGTGGGACTAGCTCACTTCCATGAGTATAGGATTGGAGTCTCAAGGAGGTGGCCTTCTACCACTTGAGCTATGTCCCACTGCTACCCTAAGAAAAATAATCATTTTCAATGGTTAATATTATGATGATTATTAATGTTGCTATTATATGCCTATTTAAAAACAGTACATATACACATATGCATTTGTTACAAGGTTGTATCCAGACTTAGTCCTTCCGAAATTAATGGGCATGACTAACTCAGGATCCAGCCCAAGCTCATCAAAATGTTGCTTTAAAAATAATATATTTGTATATAATGTGTGTGTGTGTGTGTATAGTCAACACACTCATATAACATACACACGTATATATTCTGCACACACAATATGCTATGTGTGTAATATGTTCTACACACATGTGCTTACAGATGTGCTTTTATATGTGTATGTATGTTTTATATATATGCATATATGTGTGTGCATAAACAGTATTACAAACACAAATATGTGTTAAGTATATATGTATACATATATGCTTCTGCACACACATATATATAACACAATATATGTATGCACACACACTCATAATATGTGTGAGCATGTACCAATCTATGTGTGCATACGTGTGTGACTATATAAATATTACACAAATATGTATGTACCACATACAAATATAATAATATACATATATGTGAGTGTATGTGTGTATGTATATATGTTATAGGAATTCTAATGACTATATATATATATATATATATATATGCATGTATATGCGTGTGTGTGTACACATATATATGCGCGCACACACATCTATAAACCTCTCTATTCGCATTTGCAAGGCTGCTGACTGTGGACCGTCGTCTGGAGCAGCGATCACCCCCTGTCACGATTTCCCCTCAGCCCCCGCCCCTGGCACCGCGGACCCTTCCTCCTCCGCCCCGTCCCTGCCTCCCTGCCCGCCCTCCGCCTTCCCCGCCTGAGACACTTCAGAGGCACAGCCGACCTTCTCCAAGGAGCTCTCCATGGCCGGAGGTTCTTCAGCGGCAGCTGCGGCGGCTGGTTAAAGGCCCCTCGTCTCCTCCTCCTCCCTCCTCTCCTCAGAACACTTCCGCCTTCGCTTCGGCCTCAGCCGGCTCCACGTTGGCAGGGCTGACGGAGTGCCAGGCGGCGGCTGAGGGAAGAGAGGGCGGGGCACGTGACGGCGACCAGGACGAGGGGAGGGAAGTTACGCGCGCTCACCTAGGAGACGGGAGCCCCACAGGCTTCCGTACCGCCTCTGATTGACAGAGGGCGCAAGAGCCCCACAGGCGCGGGCCTCGTGGAGCATACCAAAAATGAAACCTGGGAGGGGGACACCGGATAGTGGGAACGTGAACGGAAAGCTTAAAGGTCTCTTAAAACTGCTGTGATGAGAGACGGCTCGCCTATTAGAGCTGCGTTCGCGCCTCTAAAAGTTACCGCCCCCATCTCTTGACCTCGAGCTGCCGCCCCTTCTGTTTATAATGGAACATTCTCCAAGAAGGCGATGACGGAATCCGTGCCGGCTGAGCCTGCGCACTGGGCTGGTGACACGGCGAGATCGGCCGACGAAAAGCCTAGGTTGAGAGTTCGAGTCCCGCCTTCGGCCGCGAAGCGTTTGGCGTCGTCGCTTCGACGACACAACTGCATAGATTCATTAGGTTGTAGCTTTTGCATGGAGGACAAAGTCCTCTCATCTCTGTTTGTATTCAGCCTGAGAGGACGTTGGGTTTTGTGCAGTAACGAGCTATAACAGCTATAGTCATTTCCTGGTAGCAGCTTACACAGTGGGACTTCTGAGTGAAAGCAGCAAGCAGGATTTAGAGCACCAAAGTCCTCTCCCCTCCTTTGGCTTCCTGCAAATGGTATTCAGAAGCATTGCTGCTTCCAACTGTGGAGGCAGAGCACAACCATCATGGCTATTATCCTATGGATTGTAGTTAAATCAATGAACATGCCTCACAGGTTCATTCATTTAAATGGGTCTATCCAGTGTTTTTTCAGGGGGCACTTATGGTTCTTTTGAAAAAAAATGGTTGTATCCAACTTATACTCACAGTGGACACAGTGGTTTTTCCCCCTAGGAAAATAGGCGCTGGTACTCAACACCATGGAGTTGCTACAGCAAGTGCCACACTTTTTAACATAAAAAAATCAAAAAGGTGCCCTTACTGTGTACCTTTATATCAACGTTGCCCAATATCTCGTTTGTAACTCCTGAAGGAGTATTTCATTTTGAAACACATGGAAGTAAAATAAAAAGCCTTGCACCTGTGCTTTGTTTTGATCCCATGAACTTGTTGCCCAGGATCCCTTTTAAATACACAGGGCTCCTACCACTAACCCAACTGAGGGCAAAAGACTTCCCTAGAGATGAGATACTTGTAGATAAAAAAGACCATTAAGAAAAAGCGATATACTCTCCCAAAGGATGCTAGGGGAACAGATACACCCCTTGACTTGGCCAATGTCTCAAAATTGAGCTGTGCTGCCACACTGTGGTGAGAGAAAGTGATCCCATACCTGTTATGAGTGATCTGGAGTCTTGTGGCCACTCCTCTTAAAAGACCAAACCACATTTATTTACTTATTACATTTATATCCCTTTCCTGCGTGGAGCTCAAGGCAGTTCACATGGTTATCTTCTTCCCCATCGGCATCCATCACAACCAATCCTGGGAGGCAGGTTGGGCTGAGAGACTCTGACTGGTCCAAGGTCCACCAGTGAGTTTCATGGTGGAGCAGGGATTTGAACCCTGGCCTCCGGGGTCCAAATCCTCATTTCATGGTGCATATTTGGGCGCGCACCCCTCTGCAGGGTGCAGGGAGCTGGGTGGGTCGGTGTGCCATACTACGCCATAGCTGTCAACCTTCCCTTTTTTTGCGGGGAATTCCCTTATTCCAGCGCCGTTTCCCGCTGCTATCCCGGATTGTTAGGTATCCCGTAGACTGTCCCCGGGACAGGCGAGGCTGCTGATCCCTTATTTTCAAATCTGAAAGTTGACAGCTATTTACTACGCGCGGCGAGTGAGGAACCTGGGTCCCCATTTTCACACAGCTCTGAAGCAATCGGGATGATCTTGGCCAGCAGCACCAGTATCTCGGCATAACCTACCCCGCAGGGTTGTTGTGTGTCGGGGAGCCTGATCGCCTGGCCGAAAAACGGAGGTGGCGGAGAGGAAGCGGCCGTGCGCGTCGACTGCGAGGGGGGAAAAGGAGGCAGGGACTGAGGCGTCTCCCTCCGGCGGAGGAGGAGGAGCAGGAGCTGCAAGGGCGACGGAGCCGGCGATGCGAGCCGGCCGGCTTCCTTGAACCCCGAGCCGGGCGAGCGATGGCCCTGCTGGGCCGCCTGGTGCGGCGATCGCCCTGGCTGTGCAACGTGGCGCTCTACGGAAGCCTCTTCGCGGCGGGCGACGCGGCGCAGCAGCGGCTCCGGCGTCGGCCGGGCCAAAGCGCGGACTGGGCGCAGACGCGGCACGTGGCGCTGGTGGCGCTCTCCTTCCACGGCAACTTCAACTACGTGTGGCTGAGGGCGCTGGAGAGGCTGCTGCCCGGCCGGGCGCCCGGCGCCGTGCTGGCCAAAGTGCTGTGCGACCAGCTCATGGGCGCGCCCATCGCCGTGCTCGCCTTCTATACCGGTGAGTGAAGTCGCGAGAGGGGGGAGGACGGAGGGGACCAGTTCCGGAAATGGCAGCTGTGCCTCTGAGCGCACGCAGAGTGCAGGGAACCAGCCAGTGCTGGATTTACGTATAAGCTAAACAAGCTATAGCTTAGGGCCCCACTATCTTGCCCCCTCCCCCCTAAATTTCACTATTAATATACTTCTTCTTAATTGTATTTCAGTTCAACAATTACTTGCTAAAATACATATTTTATTATGTGCAAATGGCTTTAGATACTCATTAGGTCCATAAATTATCATATAGCATATATTCAACACAAAAACCAGCGACAATTTGTCGTTGACAAAGGACAGCTGGACATATAAAGGGCCCCATTACCTTCAATAGCTTAGGGCCTCATCAAACCTAAATCTGGCCCTGGAGCCAGCCCTGGTGGAGCACCCGAAAGCAGCCTTGCCCGACCTGGTTATGCTGGTGTTGTATTGCTCTAAAAACACTGGCCTGTGAGTGCTCCAGTTGGAGAACAGCCTTTACCAAAGGTGTCATGGGCTTTGAAGACAAACTCAGGACGAAAGGGAGAAACGTGCTAAGAGGAAGGCATGCTTGGCAAATCCACTCTGTGATCAACTCCCGCCCGGAAACCAATGTCCCCACTGTGGAAGGACGTGTGGATCCAGAATTGGCCTCCACAGTCACTTACGGACTCATTGTTAAAACCGTGTTTATGGAAGACAATCTTACTCGGCTACGAGTGATCGCCGAAGAAGTAGTAGTATTGCTTTATTGCACCTTCCTTTTTCCTCCTCCAAGGAGCTCAAAGTGCCACACATGGTTCTCCCCGCTCATTTTATCCCCACAACAATCCTGTGAGGTAGGCAGGCAGGCAGGTTGGTTGGTTAGGCACCCTGTGAGCTCCGAGAAAGCATTTGAACCCTGGTACTCCGGGGTCCTAGTCCACTACTCTATAACCACTACACTTGGCTCTTCATGTGCACTGAGTTTGGACTATGACTCCTATCAGCTGCAGCCGGTACAGCCTTGCTGGCTGTAGCCAAGGAGACAGATAAATTACCATTCTCAATAGCATGCATGAATGATCCAAGGCACTGGATTAAGGCTCCAGCAGCTGCCAGCCTGTGTAGACAAGATTGAGCTCAGTGGACCAAGGCTCAGTGGACCTAAGGCAGGTTCCTATGTTAGGGAGAAAGGCCGCAGCTCACTGGTACAGCATCTGCTTTGCCTTCAAACATCCCAGCTTCAGTCCCTGACATCTCTTTCTGAAATGTTGGACAGCTGCTGCAAGCCAGTGTAAAAAATACTGGGCTAGGTGGACCAAGGATCTGACTTGGGCAGATTCTTGTGTTCCTATGTGAGGTTTTTTTTAAAAAAAGAAATGGGTGGGGGACAGGAAGCAACTAATTCAAGAAATTAGGTTAGAATTGACAAGATGTGACTTTAACATCAAGCCGTGCATTAAAAAAATAATAATTCAAGAGATCACAAGATACATATTTTATGGCAAGACAAACATACTATTCAGGATGCATTCAGAAGGAAATCGTTAGTGAAGCAGAAGTGTGTGGCATAGTATAAAATGCTGTGTAAATGGGTTTCTAGTAGATTTTACTTGTATTCTGACTTTCCTTAAACATTTTGTGACCAGGCATGAGTATACTCCAGGGGAAAGAGGATGTCTTTGCCGACTGCAGGGATAAATTTTGGAATACCTATAAGGTAAGTGCAATGCTATATTGAACGTGGTCCCATCACCACACACACCTTACAAGTATGCCCACCTTTTTACTTACTTACTTACTTATTTACTTACAGCATTTATACCCCAGCCTTTAGCCAAAAAGGCGCTTGGAATGACTTCCAAAAATTATTTATTGGGCTGTATCTGCCCTCAGACTCATCATCAAAAGACATGACACATGAAGAAAAAGGGGAATACTTTAGGAAAGAGAAAAAAAGAAACTCAACTTACAGTGGTGGTTCTGGCTGTCTGGCCCTCTTCCCATCCCTCAAATTATGCACACATTACATGCCGAATGCATCCTGCTTTTGTAGTGAGGGGTAAGGAGATAGGTAAGGTCCTTTGTACCAGAGCTGACCACTGGAACTTTTCCCTCATCCTTTTGCCATTTGAGATTTCACCAAGTACGGTACTGTCCACTTGCAAAGAAACCAATTTTCCCAGTTCCAAGCACTAGAAACGTGTTTTTAAAGACACAAACCAGTTGCTGTAAGTCTGCAAAGGCTTTCTGCTGGGGTCATAAGCCTTAAATTTTGTGATGAAGAGGCCCAGCCAGTAGATATGTGGGCAGGGGTGTATGGAGAGAATCCGTGCAGAAGACCGAGAACATAAATGGGGGCAGAAAGATACGTTGGAAGTTGTTCAATTTTTAAACATATAAACACATTTTTAAAAAACAGGTAAACAAGAGCATCTTGATTGCCTGCTGTCCCTAGCAACTCAGGACATTATAAAGGAGAAATGCATTTATGTATTAGTAAGCAATTTCATAGCATATTGCCTGCATGCTTTTCCTTGTATTTCCACAACTGCAACGGCTGGAGGCTTGCCTTTTTCTTTTTAATGAAAGCTGAGCATGCAAGGTGTGGCTGTACCTCCACACAGCCCTTGCTTTTGTGGCCATGACATTGTTCATAACCAGTCTGCATTTCAGCTCTTACATCAAGCGTGCATTTATGTAACGCTCAGAAACGGTATTATGAGAGCAAGGAAGAAAGGAGTTTTGCAGGTGGTGTGAAATAAATATGGTTGTTCAGAGGCGTTCGTCCGTCCTCTGCGGTTGAAGGAAGCATTTGTTCCTCTATACCTTTGTTTGCCAATCTGGCAAATGTGTGAGTATATCAGGTATCATGTAATTCTTGCGGTCCACTATGCTGTGCTTGTTGTGCTTAAAATGAAGCAGTGCTATCTCTCTGGGGTTCTTAAAGTGGCAGTTTGAGGATTACCCACCTTCCCGCTTGTGATAGGCCCCAACTGCACTATACATTTAAATAAAGCAGGACCATACCACTTTAAACAGTCATGACTTTCCCCAAAGGATCCTGGGAACTGTAGTTTGTTAAGGGTGCTGAGAGTTGTGAGGAGACCTTGTTCCCTGCTCAGAGCCACCACCTGTGCTTTAACAATCCATCCCTCTTCCCAGGGAACTCTGAGGGGAATAAGGGGACCTCCTTTGCGTTGCGCAATATGATATCCAATGTAGCAGTGGCACTAGCAGAAGCTGATTTTAGCAGGAAATAGCCAGGCTACCACAACCAGCCACAAGAATCATGCTGGTTTCTTGGCCTTCTCTTTTGAGAGCCATTCTGCTAGCACATCTAGTACACCACTAAGGGACTTTAACTTAGCACAGCATTGAATTCCACCCATCTATGTTGTTGTTGTTATTTCATTTTATGATGTACATCAAACAGAGAGAACAATGATCACAACAGATGAAAATTAGAAGATGGAAAACAAAACTATAAAATAGGCACATGGAATGAATAGTTGCACACAAGTTAAAATGACAAAGTACAAATAAAGACTATCAACACTATCAGATCATCAAGTTTAGTTCCAGATTTGCTGGGCTTGTGATAAGGGTTGCCTTGAAAATGATGGTTCTACTGTATGTCAAACCATATAAAAGGTGTCTGGAGGTTCTTGTCTTGTTGAAATCTCAAATTATGCGTGACTTTCTCCAGTGTATCCCAGAGTAACCAGTACCAAGCATGCAGCATAAGATTTTTGACTGTTTTCCATTGCAATTACTATTTGTGCTGCCAAGATAATCTATAATCATAGAATCTTAGAGCTGGAAGCGACCCAAGGGTCATCTAGTCCAACCCCCTGCATTGCAGGAATCTTGGCTAAAGCACCCATTACAGATGGCCATCCAACCTCTGCTTAAAACCCTCTAAGGAAGGAGAGTCACTGTCTCTCATGGGAGTCTCTTCCATTGCCAATTCCAAGACCAGTTCTTTTGACAATATGTTTAACATTGGTAAAAGGATGCGGGTGGCGCTGTGGGTTAAACCACAGAGCCTAGGACTTGCCGATCAGAAGGTTGGCAGTTCGAATCCCCATGACGGGGTGAGCTCCCGTTGCTTGGTCCCTGCTCCTGCCAACCTAGCAGTTCTAAAGCACATCAAAGTGCAAGTAGATAAATAGGTACCACTCCAGCGGGAAGGTAAACGCCGTTTCCGTGCGCTGCTCTGGTTCGCCATAAGTGGCTTAGTCATGCTGGCCACATGACCTGGAAGCTGTACTCCGGCTCCCTCGGCCAGTAAAGCGAGATGAGTGCCGCAACCCCAGAGTCGGTCACGACTGGTCCTAATGGTCAGGGGTCCCTTTACCTTTACATTGATAACTCTCATTTATTTTGATGGCTTTTTTGTGGTACTTTCCCCACTCAATTAACTGCTTTAAATATATTTTGCTTTTGTTTCAGACTGGGCTGATGTACTGGCCTTTTGTGCAGGTGAGTTTAAATTTGCCTTCCCCCTCCTTAGAAACTCATGAGGAAGACAACAGCAGCAGCTACAACAATGTGCTCATCAACACAGTCGGAAGATTGCCCTGATGCATTCATTCTTCACCACATCCCCATATCTCTAGTTCCGGTGTCTGGGGTTGTGGAGCAGCCATAAACCTCCTATCTGTGTCCCCTTTGAATATTCAGCTGTCCCTGTTATTGCAGCAGCAGGAGATGCATTCCTTGGGTGCTGAATCTGCTGTTCCTGTGGATCCTGCCGCCTGAGGCGGCTGCCTCTCCTAGCCTCATGGGTCAGCCGGCCCTGACTGTGGCAGCCACCCCTCAATAAGGTAACCCTCATGGGTTACCTCATGGCCCAATAAGACGCACCCTGTCAGTAACACTTGAGATGTCTGCTATTATATCCAGCAGCAAGGATTTTTTCCCACATGGGAAGGGAAACCCTGTTTTGAGGCAATTTGAAAACAAAACTGGAAATTTATTTAAACACACACAAGGCGGGCTGTAGCTTAGTGGTTACTCTGATAAGGCCCAATACTTTGTTTCAGTAAAAAAACTATTTGCAGATATAGTTAAAAACGTACTTAAAGCTCATAATTTAAACCTCTCTCTAGAATGGTTATTGGTCTTGCACTGTAAGTAAAACACTCCCAGCCCTTTCTAGAATCTTTACATTGCCCTGCCTAGCTAGCTGCCAATTTGACCATAACTCGGCTCTAAACTGATCCCTATCTCATAATTTTCCAAGCACTATCCTACAGTTAAGCCCTATATCCACTCTGACAGTTAAGCCCTATCTGACAGTTTAACTGTCAAGTTATAACTCTCTACTCCCTCCTGATTGAATGACACTCCAGCTCTGATTGGTTTCTTGGTCGCCAGGAGGCTGGCCCAAGGCCCATCCATCAAAGAGACCAACATAAATAAATTCTCCTTGGCTTACCCCCATTCTATTTCCCTTTTCAAAGCTTGTAGAACACCAGATTGGAGTAGTTTTTAACTACAGGAAAATCCTAGAGTTTCACCATTCTGTAGTGAAATAAACAACTATCCAACTTTCAGAAGACATCTGAAGGCAGCCCTGTTTAGGGAAGTTTTTTAATGTTTGACGTTTTATTCTGTTCTTAATGTTCTGTTGAAAACCGCCCAGAGTAGCTGGGGAAACCCAACCAGATGGGCGGGGTAGAAATTATATTATTATTATTATTGTTATTATTATTAGGCAGGGTTTGGGAACCTGTGGCCAACTCCCATCGCCACACTAAATCTCACACTGCATCAGTTCAGCAAAGCAAGCTCATTTTGCAGCAAGTTGGATCTGCAACAAACATGACCAGGTGAAGGCTCTGATATTTCTCTTGTGCATTTAACTCAGTTTCGTTCTGTTTTTCTTTTTTCTTTCCCCCATATAGCTTTCCAACTTCAGCCTGGTTCCGGTGCATTGGAGGACGGCGTACACTGGCCTGTGTGGTTTTATCTGGGCAACTTTCCTGTGCTTTTCCCAACAAAGCGGTGACGGAACTGCAAAATCAGTTTTCTTGTTGTTCCGAGGCAAAAAACCTGACGTGGACGAGATGCCGCCAGAGAAATAAATATATTGCTGGTGCAAAGCATCCCTCACCTGTCAGGGAGGCAGCGAGCTGCGTTGGCAGATGCCAGGTAGATTTTTTTAGGGGGTGATGAGAATGTACATGAAGGTAGAACTAAAAGTGAACAAACTTGAGCATTTACGAAATGGTACCTTATTGCTGTGGGAATGCACTCAGCTAACTTTTAGGGTTGTATCCAATTATTGGGCATGACTAACTTAGGCCCCTTAATTTTAATGCTTCTCCTCTGAGTGGGCTTTAATTGACTGCCACCCATCCATTCTGCTAGTGCTATTTTTCTAGAAAAAGAGGTGCTGGAGCTCAACCTCCCTTGTTCTCTTAGAATGGCAATGGCGCCCACCTGAGAGGTGCTGGAACTGAGTTCCAGAGAGTTCCGGCTGATAAAAAGCCCTGCATTCTGCAGAGATACAGTAACTTTACTTCTCTTTTATTTCAGTCGTGGACTTGAGGGTTCAGTGTGTGCCTGTAGAATTCGGGAACATAAAATATGTGAACTACCAATCTATGGTTTAGAGCAGGATTGAGGAAGTTCTGTCTGGCTCTCGGGACTTTTCCTGTACTGCCCTCTCCACCCCAGTCGCACTCTCTTCCCCCAAAACGATACCCTTCACTCCTTGAGTGCTTTTGCTTTGCTGGGATGTGTTATTGAACTCTGATCATGCCTCTTGTTTGACTGGATGAAGGCTGTGTGCGTATAAGCTATCCTGTTGCACAAAGGTCAGACTTAACATTTGTTGCCATACCCACATTTGGTTCTGGCCCTGCCCACCAGCATGTGCCCCTAAAAGGTTATACAGAAGGGAGTACGGCCCCCAAGCTGAAGAAAGTTTCCCCACACCTGGTCTGGAGGGATACAGTCCATTGCATTGCCTGATTTGGGTCTTTTTGTGCTTCATGTGTAATAAATCCAGTCTGATGCACGGTTGCATCCTGCACAGCTGTAATTCAGCCTGTCATAATAATAATAATATTTTATTTATACCCCACCCATCTGACTGGGTTTCCCCAGCCACTCTGGGCAGCTTCCTACAATAGACTAAAAACACATTAAAACATCAGACTTTAAAAACTTCCCTAAACAGGGCTTCAGATGTCTTCTAAATGGCAGATAGTTGTTTATTTCTTTGACATCTGATGGGAGTAAGGGCCCATCCAAACTTGCCTTTTGCCCCACTCCTTTCAGCCAGAGGTCCACACTTTAATGCTCTGTGTCTGAGTGTTTGTTTGTTTTTGCCCCAAGCTTTTCACTTGAAAACTCACTCTTTGAAGCTGAATCGGAGCAAACATCAGCTTGGGTTTTTACTGCAGATTGAGATTTGCTCCGATTGAGCTTTATAAAGCAGATTTTTGCGGAGAAAGCTCTGGAGCAAAAAACAGGATGTTCAGATACAGAGCTTTAAATGGCAGGCCATGCCTGGAAAGGACGGAGGCAAGGTAAGTGTGGATAAGCCCTAAATTCCTAGTTGTCACATGGCCATATGTTTTTGCCTTTGACTGCAGTCAGCTCCTGCCATCCTTGCCCATTGGCCTTTCTGATGGGAGTTGGAATATGACAGTGTCTGGAAGGCAGCATGCTGACTTCTCCTCAGAGAAGTCCTGCATGAACTCCTTGATCCACCTGAAGTCCAGGGGATTAACTACCCGCTCCTAATAGGTTTCACATGTATTGATTTATTTTTAATCTGTCCCTCCAGCTTAGAGAGTGTGAAGTCTGATAGCAATTTCTGTTCTACAGTTTGCCCAAGCAGTTTGATGTTCTGGACAGTCTTTCCAAGGTCATTTCCCCCCAACCAAAAGCGCACAAGAGTGTTGCTGTTCTTCTTATTTTTATATATTTACACCCTGCCGTTTTCCCTGACAGGACTCAAGGCAGCTTACAAATAAAAACAATGATCACTAAAAACAGAGAAAAAGCAATCTTTTTTTTATAAAAAAAAGCATTAATAGAATTAAAACTACGGTATATACATATATAAAACCTGTTCAAAACATACAAATAATGACAATAAAAATGTTAGTGGTGGCTTGGAGAAAGTCTGCAGTTTTAGTTACAAATACGCAGACTGAGAAGGCCTGGTTAAGCAAATTCTCCATGAACTGCCATTTTGCCTCATAAGCAACAATAACTGATATTGTGGACAGAATTCAGAATCCTATGGCTCTAGTCTTTAAGGTTATTAAAATCAGGTTGAAAATAACATGGGAAACGCCAAGGGAAATTGTGAAGGCTGGGCAGGGTCTTTAGTAGGCAGGGTGGGCTAACTAGAAGATTAAAAAGATTGCCAACCTTGGGCTTTGTTTTGGCAGCTGCTAGTTCCAGTCTCCAGTGCAGGAATGGGGAACTTTTTTTCAGCCCAAGAACTGCATTCCCTCATAGCTAATCTCCTGGGGGCCACATGCCCAGGATGGGCAGGGCCGGATACAAAAGTAGGTGGAGCAACGGATGTAAAATTTTACCTTCATACAGTAGGTTACATTCTAGCCACACAAAAACCAACTCGCCACATGTCTTCATCTAGGAGTTTTCAGGTGCTATCCTGGCATCTTCACTTAAAAGGATCTCAAGGCTGGGGGGGGGAGGGTACCCCTGCCTCAAAGCCTAAAGAACTACTGACTTTCATTGTAGTGGCTGGATGGTCTAATGCAGGCATCGGCAAACTCGGCCCTCTAGATGTTTTTGGCCTACAACTCCCATGATCCCTAGCTAACAGGACCAGTGGTCAGGGATGATGGGAATTGTAGTCCCAAAACATCTGGAGGGCCGAGTTTGCCTATGCCTGGGTAAATACAAAGCTGTTTTATATATAAAGAGTAATTTGAAAAACTAGCATATTTTTTGTCCCAGGATTCAGGTGTGATATTATGATAATTTGTTTTAGAGGAGAGCATGTTTCATTGATTTTTGATTATGTATTGTAATTGGTTTTATAAAAAGAAAAGTAATTCATGAATAGCAAAGGGCACATTTCATTTAATCATGAAAGGCACAACAATCCATCTGAATTCATGAATGGCAAAGGACATAGGTCAGTTGGTTCATGAATGGAAAACAGTGTTCTGTCTTAAGACCCATCCCTGCTCTTGCCCAGGTCCCATTAATTTCAACACAGTACAACAGAACCTCCAGGTCAACTGCACCTCCAAAATGACATCATTTATAAGTAACAAATATACCCCTTGATACGCCAGTGTTTAAGATCAGGATTCCCATTTCATGGGTCACAAGTGTGTTATTGATCAGGCAACTGAAGGTCAGTATATTCAGTAAACTGTTTGATTTTTGCTGCTATTTATTCCTGTGCAAAGGAGGCCAGTTGCTCGTTATTTCTCTCCTACAGTCTTTCTCTGTGCCGCAGGGCCATTTCTCGAGGGATTGAAGTGGCTTGCTTATTACAGGGCAGCACAAACATTTGCCTATCACAGCAGCTAACCTCACAGTGGAGAAACATTAACTGTATAATTTAATTTTATAGCAGAGTTTAATTGCTCAGATGGAAGGCGGGTGGAATATTGAGTCATCAGTGTTCTTGCTAATTATTAAAATTCCTTGCGGATTATGCTTCCCCTCTCCTGCAATGTACTTGTACTGGAAAAGCAAGGCAGCATGGGTTCTGTGCAAAGCTTGCAAGATCGTTTCATGAGGACCAAGAAAACATGGTGTAAAAACTTAATCTTCAGTCTCATTCTGCTTCAGCATCTGGGCAGAAACGTAGCCCAATTTTCTAAAAAAAAAACCCGTTTCATCTGTTTTTTGTTAACCCATATGTTTTCCCCCAAGTGAATGGTGCTTCCTCTCTTTCTCTAACAATAGTGAAGTAATTAAAAAAAAATTGCATTATTTATTATACAGATTTAAACTACTGACTCTGATCTCCTGCTGCTTTCAGCTGCAGTATTGCTGCAGATATGTGAAATACTGCAGTTATGACAGAATATTTAATATACAATGACATTCTCAATCATTTTAATAGTTTATTAAGTGTTTTGGGTTTTTTAAAAAAAGAAAAATCTGTGTGCTTTATATGTACAGTGATTCCTTCTATTTGTTTCAAAGTAAATAAACTGGGTGGAGGTCCTGATATAAGCCTTCTGCCTCAAGTAACCTGAAAATTATGTGGGGTTTTTAATGTGTTTTGGAAGTTTTGTTGTAGTGTTGTATTGCATTCTGTTGGGTTTTGGGGTGTGTGTGTTTTTGGTGGGGTTTTTTTGCCTTGGGTGGACATGGTCCTGAAAGGCAGCATATAAATGTTTTTAATGATATAGATAATAAAATTATGATATTGAAAACATTTTGCTGCTGACTAACAGTGTGTGGAAAAGAACCATGTGACATGGGCTGCCTGGGGGATCAGCGCTTTTATCTCAACCAAAGGGAAACCTATTTGGAAGAAGCTTGCAAGCAACGGAAGTAATGTAGGAGTTTATCTTGGCCTGCTGCATTAGAGAGGGAGAAATTGCCAGGTGGTTGTGCCACGGTGGGCCTATGGGCCTGCTTAGAACCACCAGGCCATTTTGGCCAATCCATGCCAAAGCACTGTGAGTGGCACTTTGTAAGTGACACATTTCAAACTGCACTGGCAAAACCAGGTTGCCTGATGTGATGTCAGGTGATTGGTGGGTGGAAAGTGCCACCCAACTGCCGGACAGGAGGGCGGGAAGATAAGAATCCGGCCCAACTGCTGAATTCATTTCTTCACCTCTGCCATGCTCTGATTATTTATTTTGATTTATATCCCACTTTTCCTCTAAGGAATTCAGGGTAGCTTACACAGTTTCCCCTGAGCCCGACTTTCACTTGGAAAGGCCTTTCACTTGGAGCTATCCATGGTGCTGAGATCAAGTGCATAGAATCAGAATTGTAGATCTGAAAGGGAACTCAAGTCATACCTATTCCAACTCCCTGCAATGTAGGAATCTCAACTAAAGCATCCATGGCAGCTGGCCATCCAACCTCTGCTTAAAAACCTCCAATGAAGGAAAGGCTACCACCTTCCAAGGGAGCTATCCATGGTTCTGGAATCACTTGTCTGCCTTTCCCCCATGGGTTCCTGGCACAGATTGGTCAAAACAAGAGTTGGGCCATAGTGCTCATGGGCTCACACCTCCCCTGCTGTCATACCCTGCCTCTGTTCATTCACTGTGGGCATGATTGAAGCACAGCAGCCTCTTGATGTACGTAGGCTAACCCTGTAAGCTGGTACCCAATATGCCCACCTCCTGACAGCTGTTTTTACCTTTCAAAAAGCCACCTTCCTGATCATGGATCTACTATGCAGCATCTCATCTGACCAGATGACCCATACCAAATGCTGTGGTACGGCTAGGGTTGGAGGGCCTCCAGATGAGCACCCAGATAATGGTCATGGCAAACGGTCACCTTGGCTGCCACGGACATGCATCCTTATTTTTATTTTTTTAAAGCTTATAGCCAACGTGCAGCTGGACAGGCATGTACATGGTTACAGATGGCCACATATAACATTAAGTTTAAAAACACATTATCCTTTCCTCCAACAGTTCTTTTTAAAATCAACCCAAGTTGGTGGACTTCACTGCTTCTAGTGGGAGTGAGTTCCATAGTTTAACTGTGTGCTGTGTGAAGAAGCACTTTCTTTTATCTGTCCAGAATCCTCCAAATTTCAGTTTCATTGGATACCCCTGAGTTCTAATGCTATGAGAAACTCTTCTCTATCCACTCTCTCCATGCCACGCATAATTTTATAAACTTCTATCATGCCACCTCTTACTTGCATTTTCTCTCCATGCCCCACTCCCAAATCCAGACTTTCCAGGCACTGGCCAATCTGACCTGGATAGAAATTCTCTCTCTGTTCTGCAATTGCTGCTCACACCTTTGGAACAAGCAAACCCCATTCATATTACTTATGTACGTATTTCCCTGGGCTTACATACTGCAAACAATCCAATCTGGTAGTCAGAACTTTGTAATAACTGCAGTATAATTCATTTGCAGGATCTCTGCATGTCAGTATTAGCCCTTATCACCTGGCTAATACTTGAAGGATGGAGGTGGAAGTCCTG